CAATGTTGTAGACCTCAGTAAAAAAATATGTCTGGAGACTAAAGGTTTCAATCTATTAAACCAACTTTTAAACAAACTCATGAGTTGGCATGAGGGTTTGTTATGTGAAACAACAACTTCCCTATGTGGTTTAGAGAAACAATGTTGCACAAAACGTCTGTTATGAAGTGTGTAGAATTCACTTTAAATGTAATATGAACAAACTCAGTGCTTAAATACGTTACAGGGTGTTCAAAATGATTTTTTTATAATTCTATTTTATATCGCTAAAGCTCTTTGAGTTATTTTACTATACATTTGATCTTTGTTTTGATATTACCTGTTGATTCTGGTAAAATCTTCCAGTTAATTGTCTGTGAACAAGCTGCTATTCTGCTTTATAAACTCAGTGCATTGCTTTAAATATTGCAATGATTGTTTAATCTGTGCAAGTCTTTCTTCACGTAACGCAAACAGGAAGCTGCAAGATCCAAAACAGTTTCTCTCCTATTGTGAACATTTTCATTATGGGTGGAAAAAAAACCAATAGATTTTTAGGTAAAACCCAGAATTGTTAGGAACAGGCCACGACTGATAAAACTTGAAGAACATTGCTTGCTAGGAACAACAACAACTAACAGGTATTGGGAGCTGAAAGTGAGGGACTCTAATCTGAGAAGGTAAGTCAGACAGTTCATTGAATTATCTCCTCAGAACCAAGTTCTTGCTAATGATGCAGTTATTATTAGTAACATTTAACGCGTGCAGAGCGTCTGATCTCAAGGACTGGCGTTACCCACGCCTTCACTATGTGATAAAAGTAGGCTAAATGAACATGATGAGCATGAAATGACCAGTTCCTCTGCTGTAATCAATCACCTGTTCCCATCTCTTGCACATTTTTGAAGTTTGTCTTGAGCAGCCTGTTGATCCATGACACCACATAGAAACGGCTCGACTTATCACGGGTGGAGATGGGGGTCACAACCGGAGAACCTGCCATGTTGTGTGTCTCTTTAAAAAAAAGAAGAAGTAAACATGTATAAATTTAATTCATCTGAAGGTAGCATTCATGAAAGGTAGTCGCAAATCTGCAATAATTGGCTTAATTAAGGGTTTGGACCTTAAGGTTGTGATGTGACCAAAAACATTCCTGGGCCATATAAGTTAATACATTGAATTTGTTGTGCCTTAGTATGCTGAAACAAAACAAACCATTTAGAAATAGTGCAGTTTTATTAGTGGTGCCTTTGATTTTTGATGCCTGCTTTTATGTTATTAAGTATCAAGTGTCCAAGACAAGACTTTGTTCTAACTAATGATAGGCTTATTCCTTTGAGTTTCTGACAGAACCGTTTAGTAGGGCATTCAGGCAGCTGTTACAGACCTGTTACTACCTTGTTTGGTTGCTTTGACACCACTTGTCGCTTTGGTTCTTCCAGAAAACAGACCAATTTAGCAAGAAGGTGTTTTAGAATTTTGTAGAAGAGGCTTTCCACAAAAAAGAGTTTTAACACCAAAACTTCATGTAAACAGACATCCCCGTCATTCGCAAATAGACAAAAATATTGATAATATCAGTATTGCCTTCTTTTGGGTGGGCTTGAATTTACTGTTTTTAGCTACCTTGCTTTCATTTACTGTCAGAAAAGACTTGTACTACAATATTTTTAGTTAAGATAAACATAAAAATAAAAAACAAACGTAAGTAAGTAAAGAGAAAAAGCGTCACTTTTGGCATTTTTATCACACATGGTTGCTACAAGTAGTCACACGCAGGCTTGGCTGGTGTTCGCTCTGCTCTCTCCGTGACTGATGTCTGAGGAGGGGGTTGGTGGGTGGAACAAGGCCTAATCTCCTTTTGTCAGAATGACTGCGGGACAAAAGCTGAGATTTCTTCAGTCAAATCAAATGTTACCATCTGGTATTGCGATTTAGTCGTATCTAGATCTTCCAGTTTGTACACGGAAGCAAACCACAGAATGTTTTATCGGAATCCTGCGGGACACGAGTCATGATGCTGCGGGATATGCCTCCTCTCAGCCCCCTCTGCCATCTCCTCAATGCATAGAAAGCATGCGTGAAGTCTCGCGTTATCTTTCTTGCCGCGAACTTCTTCACGACACGCAACTTTTACTACCACGAAAACACGAGTTTTGGGGGTCCCGTTCAGTTAAAAATCCTACGGTTTTGACAACAACACACAAAGAAAAACAATTATGAGCGCAATAGTGACAACCAAGCCAACATGCATTGAATGTTGTCTCTTCTGGTTCAGTTTCCACATTTGTAATAGCGACACATTTCGCAGTGGAGCACTAACAGTACGTGTTTCCGTGTAAAGAAAACGATGTTTATCTTTTCATAAACTATTGCGTCGTAGACAGCGACACATTTTACAACCAGGCAGCTTTTTTATTGACGTGCACGCTGATACGGAACGCAAAGGCGACTTTTTCCACTAACTTGCTTTAGTAAACTAAATAGGACTGACTTGTAGTGACCCCTAAGAATTCAAACCTTTCGCGGCTTTCACTGCTGGTTACGCCGGTCTTTGTTGATGTTGCCTATAGACAACCGGGTTCACAAAAAGCCAGAACAAAGGAATGCATTCACTGGAGGGTAAAAAAAATAAAACTATTCTACACGAAAATTAAACAAAAACGGCTAGCTTTATTATACTGTGATTATATGATGGCAGACTTACCACGGCCGCTTCCCTATAGGTACAAGACGGTCCTCCTCCCTTTACTCCGTCATGAAGTGGATTCAGTGCACTGCCTGCTGACGTCCACACAACCCCGGGATGGTCTTTTGGATGACCCAATAGAATGTTAGTTGAAAAAAAAAAAAGGTTGTCCCCGCAGCCAACACCCTTATAATTACTCTGCAATAGTCTTCACACAAATGCCGAATAAGGGAAAACACTCCAATTGACAATAAAGTTAACTCGTCCGTTTAATTCTTAGCATAATAATGATTTCGGTTTTTTAAAGCTACTTATGTCGAAAATAGTGTTTTACCTAGATATTATATCATCAAACTTTTGAATTTCGAAAACTAAAAAACAAAATCGGTTTCGTGTATTGGCACACTAAGTAAATTCATTTCAACCATACACAATAATATCCATACCCGATATGCGTCGACGTGACGCTAATTTGTGGTTACGGAAGTGTTAGCATGTTATACTAACATATAATCACAAATGAGACAAAAGCGGCCGCTCTGTTGTTTGCTTTTCGGGTCTGTTTGCTTTAGACGTTTTTCGTAATGAATGTGTTTTATGGAAAAAGCGTATCCAAAAGAAGCCCTGCACAGAACAAACACTACCGAAAGCAAACATTGCAAACCTAAATGCTTGCATTTAGGTTTGCTAAATGCTGTCATTGATTATTTTCATACGTCCAAAACAAAATCTGATAACTCTGCCGCTTGTACTATTGTGTGCCATATACATTGTTAATTCCAACCATTGCGTACGATGAACATGACAGGACAATACATAGTGTATCTGGGGAGATAAACCGCTGAAACTATCAACGTTACGGCTGCTTTACGTTTCCGGTTTTCATGGTTTAAAATTTCGGCCGTTAGAACTTTCCTTTCTGCCGCGGCCATTTTGTGATGTGGCTACAACGCACCAGACGCCATTACATGTTACAGTGCAAGACTGACACCTGGGGGAAGTTATAAGAAATCATAATAATAAACAAACAAGCGAAAAATGGTTTGTTTATCACTGAATGTTGGTACTTATAGGTTGGTCTCAAGTGTATGTCACATTTGTACAGAAATTCAATATTACAGAGCAGAGGTGGGGACTCGAGTCACATGACTCGGACTTGACTTCCCTGCTCACTATCCACCGGCTTCCTGAGCTAACATGGTAAACATTAATGTGGATACGTATGAATCACCGGATTTATACAGCATAACTAAACATAGTATACAGAGAAGAGGTATCACCAACGTAAACCACAGTTGCTAACATGACGTTAGCTAGTCAGTTGTCACATAGTAAAAGAAAAGTACCGCTTCCCTCTTTGTGCAACTTCAAATGCCGAACAGTTGGAAGTTGTATTTCCATGTTTTGCATGTTTCACTCCGTTTTTAGTTAGATAATTCCAAAAGAAATTACTCAGGGCATATCTGCTTTGAGCGATTTTTCGTCTCTCGTTTTTTACCACGTTGTTATTTTTAAATCCTGTTAATTTGATTGGTTGTGCTGCAGCTACGCACACATACATGCGGAGTGTGGAAAAACAGAGAGAGGTCTGCGCCGGTTAATACGGAACGAGTGAAATGAATTATAAATGTGTTTTAAACTTTTGACTTGAGTAAAATATCAAGTCTTTTAAAGTAAACAGCTTCAAGTCAAGTCCCAAGTCAATGTCGTGCAACCCTCCACTATGTCACTTGGAATGTTGGATTTCTCTTGGTGTTGTTTAAATTGGATTATTTTCTTGTGTGTGATGTAATTGTCAGGTTAGTGCTTCAACTTTTGAGATAAATTTATAGTGCAGTATATTTGTTTGGAAGTCAGATTTTCTGCTTTCCCAGTCAAAAATAGACAAGCAATCAATCAATCAAAATTTGTTTGTATAGCACATTTAAGCAGCAAGGAATTTCAAAGTGCTTTACATCATTAAAAACAAAAACACAGTCATGCAACATTGAATACAATAAAAAAGAGAAAACATTAAAACCCGTACCCCTTTTCTAACCCTTTAGAACTTTAGTTAAAACGCCGATCAACTGGGACTCTAACCCTTACGACTTTAGTTGAAACGCCATCAACTGGGACTCTGACCCTTAGGACTTTAGCTGAAACGCAGTCAACCGGGACTCTCACCCGTAGGACTTTAGATGAAACGCCGTCAACTGGGACTCTAACCCTTACGACTTTAGTTGAAACTCTGTGAACTGGGACTCTAACCCTTACGACTTTAGCTGAAACGCCGTCAACTGAGACTCTAACCCTTACGACTTTAGTTGAAACGCCATCAACTGGGACTCTAACCCTTACAACTTTAGTTGAAACACCGTCAAATGGGACTCTAACCCTTACGACTTTAGTTGAAACTCTGTGAACTGGGACTCTAACCCTTACGACTTTAGCTGAAACGCCATCAACTGGGACTCTAACCCTTACAACTTTAGTTGAAACGCCGTCAAATGGGACTCTAACCCTTATGACTTTAGCTGAAACGCCGTCAACTGAGACTCTAACCTTTACGACTTTAGTTGAAACGCCGTCAAATGGGACTCCAACCCTTATTTAACCACAAGCCACTCTGAATAGGTGGGTTTTAAATTGAGATTTAAAGGCACTCAGTGATTCAGCTGGTGTGTTCCATTTGTCGTCTGAACTCGGAAGTTACAACTTCCGAGTCGAGAAAGCCGAGAGGTCAGACTTCCCAATCGGAAAGTCTGATAATTTTTCTAACACTGACTTTAAGATCCAATATGGCTGCTCCTCGCATCAACAATACCAAACTGGTGAAAACATGGTCATTTTACAAGCTACACTTGTAAGAGGATGTATAATGAATGTTACATGTAGGACCTACAACTCTATTGACCTTATTCCTGACCGGCTTACTGGGGAAATGATTGTGGGTGTTACTTTCGGCGGCTAGCGGAAGTAGTATTATTTCATTGTAATTTGTAAGATTTTTTTGCTTGTCTATTTTCATGATAGAAGTTACATCTCTCTTTTCGGTTATAATACAATATTTAGTAAAACTTGTTTACGGACACACCATCTGCTATCAGAGAGCTGCTCAATACAGATTATCATAATTGTGAGTTTAATCAAGGGGAGCGACAGGAACACGATCGTTAAGTTTTGTAACAGAATGACCGTGAATTAGCAGCGCTGCTAACAGCTCGTTTCTCTGAAGAACTGACAGTAATAAAGAGAAAAGCAGAGAAGATCTGAGCTCTGTCATAGATCTGAGTTGTGCCAACAGTATGAAACACCAGAACTACACAATATTAGCTTGGTGTGATGTGAATTTTATTTTTCGTTTGAATTGAAAAAAATAATAAAGTTCATGATCTGAGTATGTATCATTATGATTGGGCCTGGACATTTTATTTATAAGACAAAATAAAATATCTGGATCTATTTAATCCATCAGAACCAGAACCTCGAGGTTCTCTGTTGCTGAGTGTCGCTGCAAATCAAACCAGCAGAGAAATAACCGCAGCTTCTGAGCTCCAGATCGTGCACAACAGCTGAATCTTCCCACTGGACTAGAACCGAACCGAATCACATATTAACCTATTATAGAGAGCAACTTGCCACTGGACAGTGTTGTAAGATGCCCTTGTGGAGCTCGGGTAACTGTTGTGCTGTTTGTGGCTGTACTCTAATAATCAGACCACATTTAGTTTGTGGCTGTAGCAAGTTCAAGATAACCCACATCTGCAACCGAAGCAACTGAGTCAGTGAAGTAGCTACATATGCTAGTGTAACTTGAAGAAATGCGGCCATGTCTTCAAGTTGTCATCCCTCCCCCCAATAGCTATAGGTTGCAGTAAAGCAATATTGTCACATTTAAGCTTTGATCGCTGGTGTTCCCACATATTTTATAGCCTAAAAGCTCTAACGAAAGCCCGTTAGCGTTAGGGTAACATGTAAACAAATGGGAGTTCGAGCTTGCGGCGGAAGTCGCGTCCATAAATCACGCAAAGCATCATGGGGCGTAGGAATAAGGTAGATAAGGTGTGTTTGCAATACATGTGGAAAGTACAGCTTAAAACAATGTTTGTTAGAGGTACTACAAAGAACGACTACTTGGGCGTCGTCATATTGTAATGTAGTTAAAATTGCCAGTTTAAACTATTTACTTGCACTTTTGACAATTTGTCTATGAATAAGCTGGTCATAGAGTGCTGTTCAAATGGTACTACAGTGTTTGAATGGATTTAAACTGTAGGAGAAGTAAGATGTTGCTGCTAAAAGTGGGTAGCACTTCATTAGTTAGCAAAAGCTTGTTGAAGTGCTTACAGGTAGTTTTTTGGTTTTCAACAAAGCACTCTTATCTGATGTGACCCATTCCAAGGTCCAAAGTCCACACCATGTATGTTGAATTTATGCTGAATTCTGGATATTATTAATATCAAATCAGGTGATCTTTAGACTAAACTTTGAACTTTTTAATCAGTCAACACCCTTAAAGGCAGTTTTCAGACAGCGTTCTGTAAACAAAGCCTGGCAAACTTCCCATGGTCATTGAAAAAGAAATGGGTTTTGAGGTAATTTTCTTTTGCTACCAACCAACCTTTTGCATTTTGTAGCGGAAAAGCTCAAACTTGAACTTATTGGACCAAAACGTGTTCAGGGTAAGGTTTAGCAAACCCTCCCACTTAGGTTTGTTACAGTATAACTCTTTCTTCCCCTCATTCGATCCAAACAACTGGTTGGCATGGAGATAATGTGCAATGATCCCCAAAGTACAATCTATACTGTAACATAAAGTTTTGGAGATTTTTGACTTCTTTGCTGTCCTCATTACCATACATAGAGGATATCTTTGTCCAATAGAGAGAAGAGGCATAGACTTTTGTGTCACATAATATTTATACATCAGGGAAACAAAGTTATGATTACAAATTAGAAGTTCCTAGAAGATGACTCTGATCAAGTCATCTTCTATAAATTAAAATAATTTTTAACAAATCTTAATTTGTTGTAAAAAAACAAAAAAATACTTTTAGTTGTTTGACAATACTTTCTTTGAAATATGGAGTATTTTTTGTCCTGATAATATTGTAGTTCTATGAGAAGCGGAAAACGTCGTGGATTTAATGATTGCAGGTGCACACACGTTGGACTAAACGAGAAACAACTACATGTCACTCGACATTCTTCTTTTTAATCCCTTTTATTTCGACATCCACAATGTACTGAAGCTCACAGTGGGTTCACAGGGTTAAAGGTCAGGATAGTCTTTGTTTGTCTTGCCCATCCTCCAAGAAACAAGGGTCATCAGAAAGTAAAGAGCGACAGAAGTCTTCACTTTCTTCAACGGCACCTTTTAGTCTTGTACTAGTCAGCAATGTTTGAAGACTCCATGTCAACCACAGTGTGAAAGTTTTTATGTCAATATTAAAAACTGTTGATATTTGCTGTGATTTCTTTTGGTGGATTATGTGTTTCGTCAGGAGGTCAACCAAAAGAACGCGAGACAAAATGAGAGAAAAAATCCACCTCAAGTTAAGTTACTTAAAGCTTTGGTTGGCAACTTTATTTAAAACTTATTTAAGATAATAAGCTTCAGAAAGTATTATTATAACATACGAGGAGAGTTCTGATTCTTGTTCTGGTGCAATAATTAATGTATCTGTAAAACTGTCCATCCAAAGGGATTTTCCCTCTTATCTCAGATTTTAATGGTTATATTATCCTGTATTTGTTTAGAATGATTATAAATATATTTAGAAAATATATGAGACTTTGAAAAAAGGCAAATGTGGAGTATGCCAATGGACAAAAATTATGAACTGAAACTATGACAGGAGGAAAGTGGGAAAACAGTTTGTTTTAAAGAGGAATAAGTTGAAACAAATATCGTGTGCTGAGCTCCAGCACACGATAAAATATTCAGAGCACAAAACAAAAGTGAAAGTGCTTTTGCTTTTGTCATTGCTGCCTGCCTTTTTCAAGCTAATTTGTTGTTTGTCAGAGTGCAAAATGGTCTACCTTTGTTATGCTTTTACACTTATTGACATAACAGCTGTCCTTCAGCATGTCGCCATTATTCACTAAACCAGGACAGGTGAAGCAGACAGTAATCTGCCGACAGACATCCATTTAATGAAAAACCAAACAAAAAGGAACCGAAAAACCTGCGTAAACATAAAGGAAGTTATAGAGATCCCATGATATTTCATTCACCAGGACAGGAATACAGTCAAAATGATGTTCTCATAACAGACGGTTGAAACTCAATATTCTTTATACAGGTAGAAAACAATTGAAACAACAGGTAAACCAAACTAAGAGTACAAAGGTTAACTACCTATCCTATAAGCAACAGGAAACAACTTATACTAATGAAACAGACAAGAATACCGTTAAATGAGTTACACATGATAATAACATGCAGACATCGTTCACCTTCTCTGTGTAAAGTTTAATGGAAACCCAGAAAGTTAATGTTCAACCCTGAGGTCTTATCAGTTACCTACACCTAAACAAATCAGAACCCAATCTGCGTATTAGAGGACTGGAGATCCATTTCATCTGTCTACACAATTACTGGCCACTTTATTAGGTACATTTATTCAGTTTAATTCAGTTTATCGACATAACTCAAAACAAATGTTGTCTCAAGGTACTTTATAACAAACCTATCCATTTAATCCAGTCACAAAGACAGATTTAAAGTCTGTTACATACATTTAAATTGATTCTAATTATCAAACAATACGGTAAAGTTCGGTTTATTTTAATTGGTTAAACTTTTTCAAACCCAGCAGACTGCATCAAGTCATAGACTAAGCATGGGATAGTGGACAATAGTTTGCATTACATGGTTGATTTTGCAGTAATCTCTTATACTGAGCATGTACGTGGCGACAGTGGACTGGAAAACTCCCTTTTAACAGGAGAAAATTATACATAAAAAACACAAAAGCACTGATCCAGGGGTACTTTCTATATGTTAAAGTTAATGGCAGTAACTGCACCTTATAGCTTCATCTGGGAGAGAAATACAATTAATCAGACAAACTGATTCAGTCATCAAGTGTTTAGAATATAAAGAGTGAATCAGCCAGTCACTTTACCTATCAATCATTATGTAAAATTAAATATGCTGTTGGATCAATTTATTACAATTTATTATTTATCAATTTATTACAAGTTGCTGCTGCAAAACGTACAGGTTTCATTTCCCCACATGAACAAAGCAGGAGTTTATTCCAACTCAAAGAAAACATTTCTGTCCTCTCTGAATTCTTCTTTCAGACACTGATGCATGTTTTCCACAGATTTCTACTGTTTTCCCCAGTTAAGGTTACTTATACCACTTTCACTGTGAGCAGAGTTTATATACATGGAGAAAGGAAGCCTGCCATTTCCTGCCTTGACAGAGTCGGTTACTGTAAAGAATGGAAAAGCTGGGCACTCTAAATTTCACTTCTGCATTTCGGGTTCCCACTTTGGCTGTTCAGTTTTCTGACTATTTCATAAGCTGCTGATCTACTGCAATATTTAGCTATAACCATCTCTTAACTTTACAGAAACGGCTTCAACAGAGTG